ACACACACACACACACACACACACACACACACACACACACACACACACACACACACAGAGCCAGGCTGATGATGCATGTTTGTGACAGACAGAGGGCAGTAGAGACAAACCCACAGACAGAAACTCAACCACCTGGAGCACCATTAAACTGATGAGGGAATAAACAGCTCTGTTCATATTCTCCTGCGAAATAAAGATTAAAGAGTTTTTAGCTTGTTTTTACAAGCCAGGTGTAGGCAAAGTGAAAAGGATGTTTAGGGATGATTCATTTTCATCACCTACCTACAGATAGAAATAGAAAAAACCCCACATGCAGCCACAATCAAAATTATTCAAACTTGCATGTGTAAGGCTTTACAGATAGAGTGTTTTCTAAGAACATTAATAAATGGGCATACACCTAAGTTTGCAAAATGGCTATGTCATGATTTAAATCATATTTATTACAGCTGTTTTTTTTTGATAACTTATGGTTATGTGAAGCTACCGCAATGTTCTAAAATCAAGTTAACCTTTCACGATCTGAATTGTTTGAAAGGTATCTGGAAGCTGAAATAAGAACGCAAGATGATTCACATTTATATATAAAAGATGATATGCAAGTGTAGGACTCTTGGCATGAAAGAATGAGAAATTTATCAAAGGGGAATCAGATGTTTGAAAAGAACAAGTGAGAAAAAATAGAAGGTTTCATTGAAGGCATGAACAAAAAGTACAGAATCATTAAGAGACTTCAGATTGCAGAAAGAGTGCGTAAAAGTTGATGAAAACGTAAAAAACTGGGATAGATTTAAGATCTTTTTGAGTGATGAATGTTTCTGTGAAACTATTTATATCCTCCTGAGGTCTGCACTCTTCACTGTGATGCATTTTTAATTTCTCCTAGCTATTTGGGATTAACTGGACCTGATAAAATTTAAAACCTAGGCATGACCTTTTTCTAGAAAGTAGAGCACAGCACAATAATGCCAGCACCATATAAAGGATAAAACACTTTTCTGAGCCCAAATCTCAGTTCAGAAACTGTTACCTGAACAGCTGAATCACACTTTCTTTAAAGCAGTGAAATTCAAAGAAAGTAGCACATAAATCACAGAATATTTAATAAGCTCAAATATTTTGCACATAAGCTGTAAAATGGCAAAGTGTGTGAGAGGCTGTGAGACACCTGTGAGAAAATCACTTAATCTAGGTATTAAGGATATGTATGCTTTCATTACACAAACATGAGTTAACTTCACAATAATAACTTGCCTGTATTTACAACTGCAACTGTTACATATACCCCCACTAATCTGGTTTTGTAATGTTAGCTGGATTCTGATTGAAAATAGAGAATAGGAGAAGGAGCAGGAGAGACAGAGAGATCTGTCATCTATTGGTAACCCACAGCAGATTTCAGCCCTCCTCTGACAGGCTTGTTTGTCTGTCTGTCTGGCCCTTTGTCCTGTGGGTAGGTGGCTAAGAAGACATGGACGGGGCTTTGCCATTGAGACACATTGTATAACATGACGCTGGGATTAATGCTACAGTGCACACATATTACACTGAATGTAATGTATGTATGAGTCAGATGCAAGCATTTGACAGCATCAGACTACAAACATTCATAGTAGTTGGATTATATTTGAATCAAAGGTTTCACTGGGTGTTAAAGTTACCATTTTACATCATATCTGATCCCAGTGAAACGTGATCATGGCATTAAAACATACAAGTACACAAAATAGAGATGCAATGTTAAAAAAATGTCATAATACTCCAATATTAATGTTTAATAAAACAGAAATTTATGTGGCTGTCAATTATATTACACACTGGATGTCTTGCAGAGCCCAAAGTAAACATTATACTGTAGGGCCAGGGGCACAACACTGTAGATTCAAGAGTAAAACTGTTAGCAGACAAGTAATGTGCATACACATATTATTTCTGGTCACATTTCTTTAAATATGGCTACACGTGCTTGTTTTTATGAATCTCAATCATGACGAAATTGTGTCCATATGCACAGGCCTCCCCTCTTTAGCTATGAATGGAAGTAGATGCTGTTTACATCACAAGTTTATGAGACATGGCGGTGTGAAAAACAGCCAAACATCGCCCTAAGTATGCAAAGCAGAGAACCGTGATTTAATTCTGGGGTTTTCTTCTGGACTCACAAAGAAAATCAAAACTACTGAATGGAAAAAAGTTAAAGAGGCTATCAACTTTGGAAGTTCAGAGTGAATGGTCCGTGCAGAAGTAAAGAACAAATGGTTAGATTATGAATGAGAGTAAAAAAGTATCAGTTCACACAGGAAAGGAGACTCAGTAGGTACGTGTCAAGTTCAAATATCTCACATTATTTCTTTATGAATAATAACAGTTTATGTGTGAGGAGACGAATTCCTTTGGAGTTGTGTCATGAAGGACATCCAGCATGGTGGTGACTCCTTGTAAATAAGGGAGCTATATTTTAGCAATAAAGAAAACTGGAAATATTTTATGAATTGGTACAACTGTCTCTGTAAATGTCCCACACCACTGGTTGGAAACCTTGGTGTCATCATTGGAAACATCAGCAGCATATCGTTAGCTTCATAGCATAAGTGCCTAAGTCATTTTTTGGTCAAATTGAGATTTTTGCCTAACTTTACTCCCCTACCACTGCTGCATCATCCTGTCCGTCTGCCTATGTCATCACAAAAAAATGACTTAGGCACTTATGCTATGAAGCTAAGGATATTTAAAAGTTGTTAAAAAAAGCACCTTAAGCACCTCAACTTCTGTTACTCCACAAGACAGCTATCAGTTTTAGCTTAAATATGATCATACCACATCTGTACTGACTAATTATATTGGCTTCCAGTTACATTTAGAATTGATTTTTAAATTTTAAAGGTAATTTTTAAA